GAGGAAGAGGGAGAGGAAGAGGGAGAGGAAGAGGGAGAGGAAGAGGAAGAGGGAGAGGGAGAGGAAGAGGAAGAGGGAGAGGGAGAGGGAGAGGGAGAGGGTGAGGGTGAGGAAGAGGGTGAGGAAGAGGGTGAGGAAGAGGGTGAAGAAGAGGGAGAGGAAGAGGGAGAGGAAGAGGGAGAGGAAGAGGAAGAGGAAGAGGAAGAGGGAGAGGAAGAGGGAGAAGGAGAGGGAGAGGAAGAGGAAGAGGGAGAGGAAGAGGAAGAGGGAGAGGGAGAGGGAGAGGGAGAGGGACAAGGCAGAGGGAGAGGGAGGAGGAGAGGGAGAGGGAGAGGGAGAGGGACAAGGAGAAGGAGAGGGAGAGGGAGAGGGAGAGGGACAAGGCGAGGGAGAGGGACAAGGCAAAGGAAAGGGAGAAGGAGAGGGATAGGGTTAGGGAGAGGGATAGGCTTAGGTAGTGGGAGAGGGAGAGGGAGAGGGAGAGGGAGAAGGTGAGGGAGAGGGACAGGGACAGGGAGAAGGACAAGGCAAGGGAGAGAGAGAGAGAGAGGGAGAGGGAGAGGGACAAGGCGAGGGAGAGGGACAAGGCGAGGGAGAGGGACAGGGACAGGGAGAAGGACAAGGCGAGGGAGAGGGACAAGGCGAGGGAGAGGGACAAGGCGAGGGAGAGGGACAAGGCGAGGGAGAGGGACAAGGCGAGGGAGAGGGACAAGGCGAGGAGAGGGACAAGGCGAGGGAGAGGGACAAGGCGAGGGAGAGGGACAAGGCGAGGGAGAGGGACAAGGCGAGGGAGAGGGACAAGGCGAGGGAGAGGGACAAGGCGAGGGAGAGGGACAAGGCGAGGGAGAGGGACAAGGCGAGGGAGAGGGACAAGGCGAGGGAGAGGGACAAGGCGAGGGAGAGGGACAAGGCGAGGGAGAGGGACAAGGCGAGGGAGAGGGACAAGGCGAGGGAGAGGGACAAGGCGAGGGAGAGGGACAAGGCGAGGGAGAGGGACAAGGCGAGGGAGAGTGGGAGAGTGGGAGAGTGGGAGAGTGGGAGAGAGGGAGAGAGGGAGAGAGGGAGAGAGGGAGAGAGGGAGAGAGGGAGAGAGGGAGAGAGGGAGAGAGGGAGAGAGGGAGAGAGGGAGAGAGGGAGAGAGGGAGAGAGAGAGAGAGAGAGAGAGAGAGAGAGAGAGAGAGAGAGAGAGAGAGAGAGAGAGAGAGAGAGAGAGAGAGAGGAGAGAGAGAGAGAGAGAGGGACAAGGCAAAGGAGAGGGAGAGGGAGAGGGACAAGGCAAAGGAGAGGGAGAGGGACAAGGCAAAGGAGAGGGAGAGGGCAAGGCAAAGGAGAGGGAGAGGGACAAGGCAAAGGAGAGGGAGAGGGACAAGGCAAAGGAGAGGGAGAGGGACAAGGCAAAGGAGAGGGAGAGGGACAAGGCAAAGGAGAGGGAGAGGGACAAGGCAAAGGAGAGGGAGAGGGACAAGGCAAAGGAGAGGGAGAGGGACAAGGCAAAGGAGAGGGAGAGGGACAAGGCAAAGGAGAGGGAGAGGGACAAGGCAAAGGAGAGGGAGAGGGACAAGGCAAAGGAGAGGGAGAGGGACAAGGCAAAGGAGAGGGAGAGGGGACAAGGCAAAGGAGAGGGAGAGGGAGGGAGAGGGAGGGGGAGGGAGAGGGAGGGAGAGGGAGAGGGAGAGGGAGAGGGAGAGGGAGGGAGAGGGAGGGAGAGGGAGGAGAGGGAGAGGGAGGGAGGGAGAGGGAGAGGGAGGGAGAGGGAGAGGGAGGAGAGGGAGAGGGAGAGGGAGGGAGAGGGAGAGGGAGAGGGGAGAGGAGGGAGAGGGAGAGGGAGGGAGAGGGAGAGGGAGAGGGAGGGAGAGAGGGAGAGAGGGAGAGAGAGAGAGAGAGAGGGAGAGGGAGAAGAAGGAGAGGGAAGAGGGAGAAGAAGGAGAGGGAGAGGGAGAAGAAGGAGAGGGAGAGGGAGAAGAAGGAGAGGGAGAGGGAGAAGAAGGAGAGGGAGAGGAGAAGAAGGAGAGGGAGAAGGGAGAAGAATGGAGAGGGAGAGGGAGAAGAAGGAGAGGGAGAGGGAGAAGAAGGCGAGGGAGAGGGAGAAGAAGGAGAGGGAGAGGGAGAAGAAGGAGAGGAGAGGGAGAAGAAGGAGAGGGAGAGGGAGAAGAAGGAGGGAGGAGAAGAAGGAGAGGGAGAGGGAGAAGAAGGAGAGGGAGAGGGAGAAGAAGGAGAGGGAGAGGGAGAAGAAGGAGAGGGAGAGGGAGAAGAAGGAGAGGGAGGGAGAAGAAGGAGAGGGAGAGGGAGAAGAAGGAGAGGGAGAGGAGAAGAAGGAGAGGGAGAGGGAGAAGAAGGAGAGGGAGAGGGAGAAGAAGGAGAGGGAGAGGGAGAAGAAGGAGAGGGAGAGGGAGAAGAAGGAGAGGGAGAGGGAGAAGAAGGAGAGGGAGAGGAGAAGAAGGAGAGGGAGAGGGAGAAGAAGGAGAGGGAGAGGGAGAAGAAGGAGAGGGAGAGGGAGAAGAAGGAGAGGGAGAGGAGAAGAAGGAGAGGGAGAGGGAGAAGAAGGAGAGGGAGAGGGAGAAGAAGGAGAGGGAGAGGGCGAAGAAGGAGAGGGAGAGGGAGAAGAAGGAGAGGGGAGAGGGAGAAGAAGGAGAGGGAGAGGGAGAAGAAGGAGAGGGAGAGGGAGAAGAAGGAGAGGGAGAGGGAGAAGAAGGAGGAGGGAGAGGGAGAAGAAGGAGAGGGAGAGGGAGAAGAAGGAGAGGGAGAGGGAGAAGAAGGAGAGGGAGAGGGAGAAGAAGGAGAGGGAGAGGGAGAAGAAGGAGAGGGAGAGGGAGAAGAAGGAGAGGGAGAGGGAGAAGAAGGAGAGGGAGAGGGAGAAGAAGGAGAGGGAGAGGGAGAAGAAAGGAGAGGGAGAGGGAGAAGAAGGGAGGGAGAGGGAGAAGAAGGAGAGGGAGAGGAGAAGAAGGAGAGGGAGAGGGAGAAGAAGGAGAGGAGAGGGAGAGAAGAAGGAGAGGGAGAGGGAGAAGAAGGAGAGGGAGAGGGAGAAGAAGGAGAGGGAGAGGGAGAAGAAGGAGAGGGAGAGGGAGAAGAAGGAGAGGGAGAGGGAGAAGAAGGAGAGGGAGAGGGAGAAGAAGGAGAGGGAGAGGGAGAAGAAGGAGAGGGAGAGGGAGAAGAAGGAGAGGGAGAGGGAGAAGAAGGAGAGGGAGAGGGAGAAGAAGGAGAGGGAGAGGGAGAAGAAGGAGAGGGAGAGGGAGAGAAGAAGGAGAGGGAGAGTGAGAAGAAGGAGAGGGAGAGGGAGAAGAAGGAGAGGGAGAGGGAGAAGAAGGAGAGGGAGAGGGAGAAGAAGGAGAGGGAGAGGGAGAAGAAGGAGAGGGAGAGGAGAAGAAGGAGAGGGAGAGGGAGAAGAAGGAGAGGGAGAGGGAGAAGAAGGAGAGGGAGAGGGAGAAGAAGGAGAGGGAGAGGGAGAAGAAGGAGAGGGAGAGGGAGAAGAAGGAGAGGGAGAGGGAGAAGAAGGAGAGGGAGAGGGAGAAGAAGGAGAGGGAGAGGGAGAAGAAGGAGAGGGAGAGGGAGAAGAAGAAGAAGGAGAGGGAGAGGGAGAAGAAGGAGAGGGAGAGGGAGAAGAAGGAGAGGGAGAGGGAGAAGAAGGAGAGGGAGAGGGAGAAGAAGGAGAGGAGAGGGAGAAGAAGGAGAGGGAGAGGGAGAAGAAGGAGAGGGAGAGGGAGAAGAAGGAGAGGGAGAGGGAGAAGAAGGAGAGGGAGAGGGAGAAGAAGGAGAGGGAGAAGGGAAGAAGAAGGAGAGGGAGAGGGAGAAGAAGGAGAGGGAGAGGGAGAAGAAGGAGAGGGAGAGGGAGAAGAAGGAGAGGGAGAGGAGAAGAAGGAGAGGGAGAGGAGAAGAAGGAGAGGGAGAGGGAGAAGAAGGAGAGGGAGAGGGAGAAGAAGGAGAGGGGAGAGGGAGAAGAAGGAGAGGGAGAGGAGAAGAAGAGAAGGAGAGGGAGAGAGGGAGAAGAAGGAGAGGGAGAGGGAGAAGAAGGAGAGGGAGAGGGAGAAGAAGGAGAGGGAGAGGGAGAAGAAGGAGAGGGAGAGGGAGAAGAAGGAGAGGGAGAGGGAGAAGAAGGAGAGGGAGAGGGAGAAGAAGGAGAGGGAGAGGGAGAAGAAGGAGAGGGAGAGGGAGAAGAAGGAGAGGGAGAGGGAGAAGAAGGAGAGGGCGAGGGAGAAGAAGGAGAGGGAGAGGGAGAAGAAGAATTGGAGAGGGAGAGAGGAGAAGGAGAAGAGAGAGGGAGAGGGAGAAGAAGGAGAGGGAGAGGGAGAAGAAGGAGAGGGAGAGGAGAAGAAGGAGAGGGAGAGGGAGAAGAAGGAGAGGGAGAGGGAGAAGAAGGAGAGGGAGAGGGAGAAGAAGGAGAGGGAGAGGGAGAAGAAGGAGAGGGAGAGGAGAAGAAGGAGAGGGAGAGGGAGAAGAAGGAGAGGGAGAGGGAGAAGAAGGAGAGGGAGAGGGAGAAGAAGGAGAGGGAGAGGGAGAAGAAGGAGAGGGAGAGGGAGAAGAAGGAGAGGGAGAGGGAGAAGAAGGAGAGGGAGAGGGAGAAGAAGGAGAGGGAGAGGGAGAAGAAGAGAGGAGAGGGAGAGGGAGAGAAGGAGAGGGAGAGGGAGAAGAAGGAGAGGGAGAGGGAGAAGAAGGAGAGGAGAGGAGAAGAAGGAGAGGGAGAGGGAGAAGAAGGAGAGGTGAGAGGGAGAAGAAGGAGAGGGAGAGAGAATAAGGAGAAGGAGAGAGAAGAAGGAGAGGAAGAGAGAAGGAGAGGGAGAGAGAAGAAGGAGAGGGAGAGAGGATAAGGAGAGGAAGAGAGAATAGGGAGAGGGAGAGAGAAGAAGGAGAGGGAGAGGGAGAAGAAGGAGAGGGAGAGGGAGAAGAAGGAGAGGGAGAGAGAGAAGAAGGAGAGGGAGAGAGAGGAGAGAGGGAGAGGGAGAGAGAGGTAATATGACCATTCTATTAACCCATTTTTTATTAATGAAAATGAATAAAAAATGGGG